ATAAGTATGGTTTATTCGTTGTCTATTCATATTACTATATAACTAGGTCACTCTTGATACTTCAATCCATACCTATTGATATTGAGAATATAAAATTAAAGTCTGTTACTAAAGTTCAAGTAAACATACATTTTGGTTCTGTTTTCTTTTCTCCTATGTTCTTTCTCGATTCTAAAGTATACATATACACTCAACTCATATACGCTCAACTCCCTTCAAAAATTCTGCATAAATTTTGATGTCAGTTTCAGCATACATTCAATCTTTGCATCCAACTTAAATTTTTAATTAAAAAAACATTACAACCCATGAATTACAATATCATAAGAAATTAAAATAGAGCTAGTTCTTTTCTCAAAACCAAACAAACCACATGTTGGCAGATCACTGTTGGTGATATCTGTAGAGAACTCATCACAGTTAGCTTTCCTATGCATCCTCTATATCTTCTTTGAAGTAAAAAAATTAATAAATTTCTACTCTCATAATCAATATGGTGTGAAATCTAATGCATTTTCACACACAAGAATGACAAAGAAGATAAAAATTCTAATACTAAGGAAAAAACCAGAATACTGGAAGAATTGAATCATTTCAATCGATCAGTTAGCAACTTAGCACAACTTTAAGGATCGTATTTTACCAAACCGTAAACATTGAAAGTTTCTTATATTGTGCGCATGTGAAATTGTAAATTAGCAAGGCGGCCATATTACACTAATGATTTTGATAAAATAACCTAAAAATGGAATCTTGTTTACGATATCCAAATTACTGCAGTCTCCAGCACCTAGGTGAAGCACTTTATCTATCTTTACTTCGTTAAACGCTCAATTCAGGTCAGTGTGCCACTCTCAGTTTCTTTTTTATTTCCCACAATTTCTCACTAACCAAACAACTCAATTAACTTGAGCAAACAAGAATAATCAAAATTTCATTGCCAAACAAAGAGAGAGACAGAGACTCAGACTGACCTCGGGGCTAGACTTGGATTGCTTCTGAGACATATCGAGCTTGCCCTTCTCAAGAGTAACCGCACCTAACGCACCATACTGTCCCTTCATAACCGGACCAAAACCGCCAGTGACGGATGGCCCCACAAAACACCTCTCCAACAAAGCCATGGAGTCTCCATCCACAAAACCAGAAGTAGACGGAGCCGCGCAATTGGCCTTCAACACCAGACCTCTCCGCTCCGACATCCGAAGCTGGATGGGACCCATCAGCTTGGGCTTCGTCGGGAGCTGGGTGTTTATCGGCATGATTTGAGCCGTTTGAAACACTGCGTGCGACATTTTTTCTCTCTCTTTTTGATGTTTTTTTATTTCTGTTTGGATACTGAGAAAATCAAGTGATGATTTTCTCGTGAATTTTCTTGGCTCTCTCTCTGGAGAGAGAGAAGTGAAGAAACAAAGAGGGGGAGCAAGGGGTTGGGGTATTGGGGGTTTTGAGGGAAGATAGCCGACTAAACGACGACAACCCAATCCGAAAGCGAAGTTCCTTTTTTCTTTTTCATTTCTTTCGGTTTTTTGGGTTTTTCCTAGACCAGGTGAGTTGACTAGGACTTTTGGATGAGTCGACTCGGCCGGCCCGGTTTGCGTGGGAATTTAGTTGTCTACTTGTCATCGCCACATTGTTCAAGTCGCGCACCAAATCCACTACAAAATGAATTTCACGACCAATAAAAGGAAGGGAAATTAGCGGTTTTGACCCTGGCTCCAGTAAATATTGCTCAAATGACCCCTTTTCTTACAACTTTGTAAAATGATCTCTATAAGAGCACATCCACCGCTGCACCAAACTTGGGCAAAAGGCCCCCCTGGCAGCCCATTCCTGCCTCCAGCGTGCAACAATGAGCCCGAGCAAGGCCTGAGTCCCACCAGCCTAGGCAAGCCCACGGGCTAATCCTGCCTGGGATGTTGCCCTCGGGCTGCTGACGTCAGCAGCTGATTTTCAAATTTTTTTTTTTTATTGTTGGACCCACCAGCCTACATTGCCCAATGGTTACAAGCCATGTGGCTTCTCTTGGAGCCTCTGATCAAAAAATCTTGCACAATCCAACGGTTGCCCAATTTTTGGCTAAAAAAATTGAAAAAAATATATCAAAAAATTATGGAAATTTTTTCTATACAGACCTACCAATATTATTCACTTTCCACACCAATTTAATTTCAAAAATTTATTCAAAAATGTTATCTTCATTTTTAGGTGAGGATTTTAAGATAAATTTTAACACTTGGGAATTGAAAATCTTATCCAAAAAGCTTATCAAAATCAATAGTTTAAGTATAAAAAATAAAAAATAAATTTAAGTGAATAGTAATTGCCTTAGACTTGCCCTAGACTTAGCCCTAATGGGTGGAACCACAAATGGCAGGCTGACACTATTTACGTGAATAGTGGCAGTCATTGCTTGCCCTTGCCCTAAACTTAGACCTTGTGGGTGGAGATGCTCTAAATACATCATATCTCACCCCTATCATCTATTTCTCACTTTTATGTTTCTCCTCTGAAATCAATCTATGC